GATTATTTGCTCAACATACAAATTGGAAAAGTACAATCTTTTTGTTGTTGTTGTTTTTGAAGGGACACTATCTTAGTTTTTCCCCCCTTGTTTTGGTTGTTGTTGTGTGCCATCGAATCAGATCCAACTGGCAGAGTAAGAGATTGCCCCTCCTTCTCCAGCGGAGCATCTGGTGGATTCGAACCACATGCCTTTGGGATTGCAATGCAGCTTCTTGCTACTAGGCCACCAGAGCTCCCCTGAAGGGATACAATTTTGATGCAAACTCTACCTAATTTTAAATGCAATATGCAACCTTGTTCTGTTTAAACGACTGCCATGCGATTTATAGCCTCCACTTCCTAAGGAACATGCCTCTGGAAACTTTATGAACTTTAAGAAATGATAATATTGAAGAGCTTCAGGTCTTTTGTTCATAGGGTTGCTATGAATCATGCTCAACTCGACGGCAATCAACAACAACAACACAAAAATCTAATGGAGAGTCAGTTATAGGTTGGTTCCAACTCAATGGCACATAACAATAATAATATAAATAAGTAGGGAAAGATACCACATGCATAAGTGGAATGTCATAAAGATCCTTACCAAAATAATTTATAAATTTCATGCAATTTTATTAAAAACTCTTAAGATATTTTTTTCCAAAGTCCTTATCTATTAGAAGCAAATACTGAAGTATTTAAGTTGAAATGCTATGATACTTGGGATTTGTTTTAATATATATCTTTTATTATTATTATTATTATTATTTGTGTGTGTACCGTCAAATCGGATCTGACTGGTACAGGAGGAGATTCCTCCTTCTCCAGCAGAGCATCTGGTGGATTTGATCCGCGTACCTCTGGGATTGCAGTGCAACTTCTTGCCACTAGGCCACCAGAGCTCCCTAAGACACACCTTTCTTCTTTTTTTTTTTTCAAAATTCCTGAATCTGTGTAGTTACTGGTCTCAGGACTCTCTGTCTTTATGGCAATCCTGTCATGTGAGTCAGAATAGGACAGTGTCTTACAGGGTTTTCAGTACCTGATTTATTTTTTTAAAACCACCAAAAATGTTGCTTTGACTGGGTAAGCCTGGGTCCTGGGACTACCCTGGATCCCCACCTGAACCTTTGAGAAAAGACTGGGTCCCTAAAGGAAAATGCTGCAGCTGCTGCAGAAATAGGGGAAATCAAGAGTGGAGTCTGAGTCAGCAGCAACAAGAGCGCTACCTGCCTCCTGGAACATCCCCCCCACCCCAGCATCCCCCACAGAGCCATCAGTCGTTTCTCAGATACCCACATGCCACGGCCTCTGCCACCTACACTGGACAAGCTCTTGTGTCTGCCTATACCTCTCACAGGCTGGCCTTGCATCCGTCCTCTGAAGCAGCCCCCATGTCACACAGTAGCCACCTTGGCACATGCAGGTAGCAAATGCACTGTCCCAGCCTCTGCAGGTCGAGCGTGCTTACTGTCCTGTGCTTTAAAACAAGGCCCTCAGAGTTGAAAGCTGGCTGTGCCTCAGTTTCCTCATCTGTTAAATGGAGACAGTAACAGCCACCTAGAGTTGCTGAGAGGAGCTCTGGTTGCATAATATCTAGCACATTACACTGATAACCAGAAGGGTTCAAAGCCACCCGTGCTCCAAGAAAAAGAGGGGCAGTCTCCTCCCACTGAGATTTATAGCCTAAGAAATCCACTTAATGGCAATGAGGTTAGCACGTCTACAGTGTTTTATAACAGTACCCAGCACATATGCCGTTGTTATTGTTAGATGTCTTTGAATGGAATTAGACTCATAGAAACTCTGTGAACAGCAGACCTGAACCTTGCTCTGCCCTGCACCATGCTGGCAATCTCTGTCCTGCTCCAGTCCATTGATATAGTTCCTGTGCCAGTCCTCTCTTCCTCTGACCCGCTGCCTTTCACAGCGTGATGTCCCTCTCCAAGGACTGGTTCCTCCTAAACGCTTAATATCCCCTAGCTGTGATTCGAGCTCTGGTGGTGCAGCACATAATGTGCCGCACTGCTGACCAAGAGGTCAGTGGTTGGATTCCACCAGCTGCTCTGAGACCTGCAGTCTCGGAAACCTGGTGGAAGGTCACTGTGAGTTGGAGTAGACTCAGTGGCAGCAGGTTATGAGTCGTCTTACTTCAGCTGGAGTCTGCATATCACGGTCCCTACCCATCCTGTCCACTTTGCCCCATCCCAGGCTCTCAGGCACAATACAACCTTGGGTTTTTACACTGAAATAATCTGTAGAACACGTGCATTGTCTCATGTGAGGCTCATAATAACTTTGTGAGGCAAGCAGGACAATCAAATCAATTCCCTGTTAACAAATGAGGAAATGAGGCTTAAAGAGGTTAGGCCTTTAGCCCAAGGTCGTCCAGTCAAAAAGCAGTGAACCAGCCTCCTACTGCTCTTTGGACTCCTTCATGGTTCCGGTCCTTTCCTCTGGCTGCTCCTCTGGAAGAATCTTCTTGTGCTTGTTGGTTCTTACTCATTCTTTCAGGGTCAGCTTAAATGCTTCTGTAAACAGCAATAATGATAAGAGTTGACATTTATTAAGCACTTGCTGTTTGCAGAAGGAAGTGCAACCAGGGTGTTCCTTAGGGTCCGGGATGATGATGCTCTGTCTCACGTACTTTGGGCATGTTGTCAAGAGGCAGTACTTAGAAAAAGACATCTTTTTCTTTTTTTCTTTTTAGATTTGAATGGAAGTTTATACAGGACTTGGATTTCCATTCATTCATTTTTGCACATTTTCCTCCCTGCCACCCCTAAGTTTGCTTTTCTCTTTGAAAAAAATTCTTTCATTGTTGTACAATCCACCCCCCATCCCCAGTCCACTTTCCTATGCAGCTCTTATTCTGGACTGCTGTCATGCACATAATACCTAATCACATACTCCTTTCAAGCAGTCGATTCCTCATCTGTTTCAATGCAGTATACATCATTATCAGTATACTGGGCCGATGGGGTTGGTGTGTCAGAATTGGTGAGACTGGCTCAGGACAGGGCAGGGTTCAGAGTGGCTGTACATAGATAGGGTCACTATGCATCGCAGGTGACTCAACCAATATCATTCTTGTGACAGGTTTGGAAGCAGGGGTAGCATCCACTTCCTAAACAACATGCCTCTGGACACTGTGAACTTTGATAAATGCCAATAGTTGTAGAGGGGCTTCAGGCCTTTTGTTCATAGGGTCGCTATGAATTGTGCTCGACTTGAAGGCAATCAGCAACAACAACAACATATATTATTTATTCCCTCTTTTCTTAGTTTCCCCTAACCCTCATGTCAGTTCTATTTTATAACAGTGGCATTGTATGAAGAATATGGCATCAGGATTCAAGGAAGACTCACCTGCATTGTATAGATGACACTACCTTGTTTGCAGAGATTGAAGAAGGTTTGAAGCACTTACTGAGGAAGATCAGGCTGTAGCTTTCAATGCGGATTACATCTCAGCATCAAGAAAACAAAAAATCATGATAAGAGATTGAAGTTTCAAAGATTTCATTCTGCTGGGATCCACAAACCACACCCATCATAGCAGCAGTCAAGAGACAGAGGATATGTTGTATTGGAAAAATCTGTTGTCAATGATCTCTTTAATGGGCCAAAGAGCAAGGATACCAGCCTAAAGACTAAGGTGGACCTGACCCAAACCATGATTTCTTCAGTAGCTTCACATGCTTGTGAAAGTTGGGCAACGAATAAGGAAGAGCAAAGAATTGATGTCTGCGAATTGTCATGTCTGTAACGATTACTGGATGGTCTGCTAAAGTAATAAACAAATGTGTGTCTTGGAGGAAGTGTGACCAGGGTGTTCCTCAGAGGAAAGGATGTGGAAACTTTGTCTCACACAGTCTGGGCGTGTTGTCAGGAAGGACCAGTCCTTGGAAAAAGGCATCATGCTGGGAAAGGTAGAGGTTCAGTGAAAGAAGGGAAGACCCTCAAAGAGACAGATTGACACAGTGACTTCAGCAATGGACTTGAGGATGTTGGAGACTGTAAGGGTGACACAGGATAGGGCAAGCTTTCCACCTGTTGTTCATAGGACTGTTGTGACTCAACTCCAGAGCAACACACTCTCTCTCTCAACAGTCTCTACAGCTTTGGTCGTCATCACCATCACCGTCACCCACTATGTCTGATTCTGTGACTGTGAGGAAAAACCGAAGCACAGAAAGACTAAGCAAGCAAGTATAAGCAAGACAGGACGCACCCTTCAAAGAGTCTTATTCTGGGGAGGCCGTGCTTGGCTCCTGTGCTGTTACCTCTGCGAGGCCTCCTTGCAGCTGGGAGTCCAGTGAACTCCTGCCTCTCAGTTTTGCAGCTGGGCCCTGTGCCTTGGCCTGTCACCCTTAGTGCCATCACCAGCTCGCCCCTCATCCCACTAGAGCGCCCCCTCCCGGAGTCACTCTGCAGCTCCTTCCACAAAATCAGTGCTCCAAAATGTCACCTTACTTCGTTTGTTCCTCCCCACGGACCTGGCCTCAGTCACTCCCACGGCCTCCCATTTGTAAATTCAGGCTCAGATCGTGTCCCCAGGGCCCAGGTGAAGGGGGCTCCCCCTTGTCCTTCCTCCTGCTCCTGCTCCATGAGCTGGGGCTGGACATGGAGGGAGAAGGGGCTTGGGGGCACCGTGGGTGGGGCCCTTACAAAGGTTTGATTGGCACCTGGTGAGCTGCTCCGAGGGCTGGCGGAAAAAAGGATGGTGAGTAGGCTGGGGGTGGACGAAGGAGGGAAGAAGAAGGAACAGGGTATTTTTGCATTATGACATTAAAAAAAAAATGTAGATTAGACTCCTAGCGACCAGCCAGTGGCATCTGTCTGGGATTGGCAAAGTCAGGAGCGACGCTTCTCAGAGGAGGGAAGGTGGGAGGCACTCCCCGGGTCCCAGGCGGGCGGGCGCCCCCCCCCCCAGGAGGGAAGGGCTATCCCCTTTAAGAGCTCCGCCCCAAAGGGGCGCTGCCACCTCTAAGGAGGCGGGCAGTCGGCGCTTCTCATTCATTGTCTTGACAAGAGCATCCTCAGCTAATCTCAGGCTCCTCCAGCTTCTTCCTCCTCCTCTTCCTCTCCTTCCTCCTCCATTTAGGGGGCCACTGTCATCTCTTAGCATCAGGTAAGGCTAGGCCCCCTGGGAACGAGGGGGTTGGCTGGCCGGAGGCACCGGGCCACCTGTGGGACGGCGCGGCTGCGGGGGTGGACGGGCTGTCAGGGGAGCTGGCGCGAACGTCCCCACATGGAGGGCACTGTCCCCGAGTGTGGGCTGTGTATGCGCGTGTCCATCTGCGTGTCTGAGCGGCTGACGGGGTGAGGGTGAGAGGCAGCCACAGACAAGATGGAGGTGGGGACACCCGGAGGGTCAGCAGCTTGAGCCATTGGGGTTCGGAACAACCCAAATTACCCCTCAAAAAACGGGAGCCTATGGATGAGCAGGGAATGGGGAGCAGGGTGAGGGGAGGGGAGCAGCTGCCCTGGGCTTGGCGACAGGAAGGGGTTGAGAGCAAAACAAGAAAAGACCAAGTTCCCCTTTTCATGGTTTCCGGGCCTGGTACCTGCAGGTGGGGGAGGGGACAGAGTGGGGCCCCTGCTTCCTGTCCCCTAGCCTCCAACTTGGGGCTCCCTTTCCCCAGGCCCAAGCCTGCCACCTGCAATGGAACCACCTCAGGCTGCTTGGCTCACACACACTCCTCACCGCACCCCTTCACGGGCAGGTGGCCCCAGCAGTACCCTGAAGGTGTTCCAGGGTGGACAGGGGCTTGGGGCCCCAATGGAAAGGGGACAGGCTGGAAGGCAGGGAAAATGGGCACAACCAGGCAGGTGGACAGAGGTTCTGAGGATCCCTGTGCTGGAGAGGCAGGTGACGGAGGTGTGCCAGGACTGGCCTTGGAGCCTGGGGTTCCAGAGGCTTTGGGCACTGGGCCTGGCCACAACTGGACCACAGAGAAGCCAGCAGCAGCCTGTTCCCTCCTGCCCTGCGCTCCTCCGGGGGTGGAGGTGGCCCTTCAGGGCACCTGCATTTTCTGAGTGGAGGCGAAGGGCGGGAGGGGGCCATTTGGAGACCAGAGCCATCTGCTGCTTCTGGTGCCCAGAGCCCCCCTGGGGAAGCCATCCTGCCACCTCATCCCCCTGGACAGGTCCTCGTGCCACTTCCTCCCGTGTGTTCACCCTGGTGCCAGGGATGCTGTCTAGCCTTTGCCTTCAGGAAGATCCCCTTGTGGGTGTGTGGGATGTAGAGTCTAAGCAAGAAGGCCTGAGAGGCTGAGCCACGGGGAAGAAATGGCTGCATACCCACCCACAAGCAGGCTCCAGAGGCCTGTGCCTCATCAGGCTCTGCGGACGTGGAATTGAGGGGTGGGCTAGGAACGGGGTGGCAGAAAAGGCTGGCCTCGCAGGAAAGATAGGAATAGGGGTGATGCAGGTGAACAGGAGAGGCCTCGGGGTGCCCAGAGAGGCCCTAAGAGATGATGCTGGGGACTGGCTGATGTTGCCCCTGGCAGCCCAGAGTGTCTGGGGAAGCTGGGGTCCTGGAGCTCAGAGTTGGTTGTGTCCCCCCAGGATGAGCCGGCAGGTGGTTCGCTCCAGCAAGTTCCGACACGTGTTTGGACAGCCAGCCAAGGCCGACCAGTGTTATGAAGACGTGCGAGTCTCTCAGACCACCTGGGACAGTGGCTTCTGTGCTGTCAACCCCAAGTTTGTGGCCCTGATCTGTGAAGCCAGTGGGGGAGGGGCCTTCTTGGTGCTGCCCCTGGGCAAGGTGAGTCCCCCGGAGCCCCGGAAAGGCTCCCAGGGATGTCCCCAGATATCTGGGGGCCCTGGAATGGTCACCACGCCTGTCTGGGCTTCAGTGTGTTGTCATCTGTAAAATGGAGCTGGGCTTGAGGAATCTTAAGGCCTCTCTAGCTTCTACATGCTGTGATTGTATGTAACTGAGGATCAGAGAGGGAGCTGACTTGAGAAAGGTCACACAGCAAGTCTGTGAAGTCCCAGGACCTAGTCTCCCAAGTTTCAGCCCGAGGCTTCCTTCTCCGGGAGCACAGAGCTCTCGGGCATGAAGGGCATCTGGGCCTGGTTCAGGTTGAGGTTCTGCTCCTCCAGCTTACAAACAAGGGTGCTGCCTGGGGCTCTCCCCCTCCTCCAGCTCTGCACCCCCTCTTCATACTATCTGCTGACCTCTGCTACCAGTAAACTCCCGTGCTCTTTGGGGAGGAAGACAGGAAGGGGAGATGGGCCCTAGGTTGTTACCTTAAAAGGGCTGAAAAGACACCAAGGGAAGAGGAAGTGGTTGTCGGGGTGAGAGCTGGGCCCTCATCCTCGGCAGCTCAGCACACAGGAAGCTCTGCTGTAGCCATCCCCGGAAGGGGCCATTTCTAAACCTCTGCTCCCTCCTGGGGGCCAGTTAGGGCAACCCTGTCCATCCCTGCAGCCTACCACTCACGTATCCTTCACTGGAGAACCTCAGCCAGCACCACCTCCCACCAGACACAGCTGTCCAGGCCCCATAGCCTTGGCCTAACTATCCCCTCCTCATTCAAGGAAGCTGCAGAGGGTGGAGGGCAACCAGGGAATCAGAGATCACATCTGGTGCTGACACTCAAGACACAGATAAAAAATTGAACTGGGGACAGGCAAGAGCTTTAGCTAGTGTCAGGAAGCCAGCAGACTGTGCTGGGCCCACACCTCTACCCTGCTCCTCCTGAGGCCTGTTCTCCTGGGGCCTTCCCAGAGTGCCCTGGGACTGGGGCAATCGTGAGAACCATCCAACCCACCAAGTCCTGGACCCCCCAGGAACCCCACATACTTCTCTGTGCCCCTCAGAGGTCTGGGGCAGTTTGGGGGACCCTCCTCAAGACCCTGCCTTGCCTTCTAGACTGGACGCGTGGATAAGAATGCACCCACGGTCTGTGGCCACACAGCTCCCGTACTGGACATTGCCTGGTGCCCACACAATGACAACGTCATCGCTAGTGGCTCAGAGGACTGCACAGTCATGGTAAGTGGTGGTGGGGACCCAGGGGCTGGAATCTGACATTTGAGGTCAAGGCCTCAGCCTTGAAGGGAGCATCGTTGATCCCCAAACACTCCTGAGTCCCTTCCCTGCAGGTGTGGGAGATCCCCGATGGGGGCCTGGTGCTGCCCCTGCGGGAGCCAGTCGTCACCCTGGAGGGCCACACCAAGCGTGTGGGCATCGTGGCCTGGCACCCCACTGCCCAGAATGTGCTGCTGAGCGCAGGTACCGTGGGGGACGGGTGGGAGGATGATAGGGGGCTGGTCAGGGAGAGTGGGCGATCCGTGGGCTCTGACGCTGGGGACTCGCCCAGGCTGTGACAACGTGATTCTGGTGTGGGACGTGGGCACTGGGGCGGCGGTGCTGACGCTGGGCCCAGACGTGCACCCGGACACCATCTACAGCGTGGACTGGAGCCGCGACGGTGCCCTCATCTGCACCTCCTGCCGTGACAAGCACGTGCGCGTCATTGAGCCGCGCAAAGGCACCGTGGTAGCTGTGAGTGGTGTGAACCCTGAGCTTGGCCCCGGGACCTTTACCCTCTTCCTTAACACCAGCCTAGCTCCTGGTGTCATCTCCCCTGCGTCCACCTGGGGTCTGAGCCTTCAGGTGGTGCCTGACACCCCCTGCCTCCCTTTTCCGGCCAGGAGAAGGACCGTCCCCACGAAGGGACGCGGCCGGTGCGAGCTGTGTTTACATCAGCGGGGAAGATCCTGACCACCGGCTTCAGCCGGATGAGCGAACGGCAGGTGGCGCTGTGGGACATAGTGAGTGTCCAGCTGGGAGGCAGGGCTACGGGAGGGCGGGCCTGGGAACTCGCTCAGTCCCCGCCCCGCCCCCTGTCTGGCCTCAGTTTACCTAAGATGAGATAGGGGTTGGTCTCTGAGGACCTTCTCCGGGTTGATGGTGATGCGAGGACCACCACCACCCCGTGCAGATCGCCACCCCAGGGCCTGCCACGGTTCAGCTCACTGTCACCTCCACCTGTCTCTACAGAAACACTTGGATGAGCCGCTGTCCCTGCAGGAGCTGGACACGAGCAGTGGAGTCCTGCTGCCCTTCTTCGACCCTGACACCAATATTGTCTATCTCTGTGGCAAGGTGGCCCTGTCAGGCAGGGAATGGGGGAGGTGTGCAGGAGGGTCCTGGGAGGGATGATTGCTGGAGGCGTCCTGTGGTGTTGATCTTCACCTTGGCCCCCCTCCCCAGGGAGACAGCTCTATCCGGTACTTTGAAATCACTTCTGAGGCCCCCTTCCTGCACTATCTCTCCATGTTCAGCTCCAAGGAGTCCCAGCGTGGCATGGGCTACATGCCCAAACGTGGCCTGGAGGTGAACAAGTGTGAAATCGCCAGGTGACTGACTCCTGACCTCAGTGACCCCGTGCTCACTCTCATCCCTGCCCCCGCGCACTGTGGGCTCTGCTCACCTTCCTGTGTCCACAGGTTCTACAAGCTGCACGAGCGGCGGTGTGAGCCCATTGCCATGACGGTGCCTAGAAAGGTGATGCTCCTGCATCCTGACCAGGGCAGTGGGGCCAGGTCTGGCCTCAGCTCTCTTGTAACCAGCTTTGGCTTTTCCCACAGTCGGACCTGTTCCAGGAGGATCTGTATCCACCTACCGCGGGACCAGATGCTGCACTCACAGCCGAGGAGTGGTTTGGGGGTCGGGATGCTGGGCCTCTCCTCATATCCCTCAAAGATGGCTATGTACCCCCAAAGAGCCGAGAGCTGAGGGTCAACCGAGGCCTGGACACTGGGCGAAGAAAGACAATGCCAGAGGCCAGTGGCGCTCCCAGCTCGGTGAGTGATAGGGGGCCAATAATGTGTGGGAAATGGGGTAGAGATGGGCTGGGTATTCATCTAGATAGCGTCCCAGTTCAGGGAGGGTGGTGTTTATAGAGGCAGCCCAATGTCCCAAGGTCTTGAACTCTTTTTGGCTTTGGAGTGGGTAATCCAGAAGTCTCAGTGAACAGGCTCCTGGCTGGAATGTCTGTAGTTCCTCAGCAGCAACTGGCTGAGGCAGAGGTTAAGCCTGGGGGTTGATGCCAGGGTGAGGGAGCTCACAGGGAGCAGGGCCTGACACAGCCCTGGGTCCCCTGATGCAGGATGCCGTGTCTCGGCTGGAGGAAGAGATGAAGAAACTCCAGACCACAGTGCAGGAGCTACAGAAGCGCCTGGAAAGACTGGAGGAAACAGTCCAGGCCAAGTAGAGAACTACAGGCCCATGGCAGGGCCAAGCTGCAACCTGCCTCCCTCCCACTCGTACCTCCACTCTTCAGGCCACAGTGACAGATAAAAAAAAATAATAAAATGGCTTTATTTTCTGGTACGTCCCAGGCTCTGATGACTGATTACCTGCCTGCTGAGGTGGCTGGCCTGCCCACCCTTGGACTTCCCTCTTGGTAGCTCTAACCTGTGCCCAGTCACACCTGTAAGAATGAATACAGTTGCTGCTCTGCAAATGCAAATAACCCCACACTGGGCCACCGAGAAAAAAAAAAGAAAAAAGGAAACAAATCAGAAAAGCTGAAGACTGAGCTTTAAAAAAAAACCCCAAACAACCTGTGGCATCTTTTTTTTCATGGTAGAGATGATGCCGTGGGCCCTTCTGAGGTCCTTGAAGGACAGCAATAATAGGGAATAGGGTGGGAACCCCCTAGGGTTTGGGTTGGGAGCCTGTTTTCTGTATCTCAGCTTCTCACAGCTAGGGCTGGGGTGGGGGTGTCCAAGCTATTTAGGACTCTCGGTAAGACCTCGAGAATTCCCATATTTATCCAGAAGTCTTCCTCTCCAACAGCAAGATCAGGCTGCACATGACTGTACTGATACTGGTACTCAGGGTGAAAATAATCAGGTAGCATATATTCACTAGCTATCTTTAACCCAGGGGATAAAAATGACAAGGGGCATTTTCTAAGGAAGGAGCTGCGAACCAAAGCAGCAGCTGAGCCATAATTTTAGGTGAGAAAAAAGGCCCAGAACAGGAGAGGAACACATGGATTCAGAGCCCTCCCCTGCACGGTGCTTGCTACCTGGCAAGTCCTTCTGCTGGGTCCCAATGGGGCTTGGCTCTGTAAAAGAGAGACCAGGGGAAACAGGCCCATCAGGCCTACTGAGAGGGTACTTGGGGATAGGTTTCTGATGCCCAGCTAATAGTGGGTGATCTCTGATGTAGATGGCACAGGACTGTTAGGGCTGGTTTTATACTATGCAGGGGCCACAGCCCCCTTCCCTTTAGCATGTTACAGGAAGCTACGTGGCAGCAGGTGGAAAACTGAATGAGGGAGATGCACAGACATCCCTCTCTGTCTGCTTGCAACTTTATGTGACTTTGAGTAAGCCACTGCTTTGCAGGCCTCAACTGCACACCCATAAAATACGAATGAGTACTATTGCTGCTCTGCAAATGCAAATAACCCCAAAAGAACAAAAAAATCAGAAAAGCTGAAGTCTGAGCCATTTAAGAAAATACGTGTTATCCTTTCTTTCCTGGCAGAGGTGACGCTGGGCCCTGCTGGGGTCCTTGTAGGATAGCAATAATTATTAGGTCTCCTCTTGGCCCAAAATGAGGAGGATCTGAGGCATATGCTGCAGAAGGGAAAGGACTGCAGTCTTCAATACGGATTGAAGCTCAACATCAAGAAAACAAAGATTCTCACCACTGGGCTGACTGGCAGCATAAGAATAGATGGCAAAGAGATTGAGATTATTAACAGCTTCAGCTTGCTTAGCTCCACAATCAACACTCTTGGTACCAAACAGCCAGGAAATCAAAAGATGAATTGCACTGGGAAAATGTGCTGCCAGGGACCTCTCTAGAATAGTGAAGAGCAACAATGTCAGTTGGAGACTAAGGTGCACCTGATCCAGGCCATGGTCTTCACAATTACTTGCTGTGCATCATAAAGTTGGACAATGACTAGGGAGAAGGAGAACTGATGCCTTTGAGTTGTTGTGCTGGAGAAGAGTATTGAATATACCATGGACTGCTATAACAAATAGGTCCATCATGGAGAGGGTGAAATTAGGCTGCTCGTTGGAGGCAAGAATTCTGAAGCTCTGTCTGACATACTTTGGGCATGATTTAGGGAGGGACCAGTCATTGGAAAGGGACATCATACTTGGGAGGGTGGAGGGACAGTGCAAGAGAGGATGGATTGACTCAGTGACTGAGGTAATGGGAATAGGCATGTCTGAGACAATAAAGTTGGCTCAGGGTTTGCAGCTGTTGTATAGGGTTGCTATGAGTTGCAAATGACATGATGGCATATAACACCAACTTGGACTGCAGGGACTAACGAAAGGGCTGGGAGATTCACAGAGTCCATGGAATTTACTATCAAGCCTCTCCTATTAGGTTGGGGGTGGGCAATAGGGTCTTTATTATTAAATTAGCTTGAGTTCTCAAACCTTGGCCATTTTTTCATTGTGAGGACTGACACAAAGCAAGAACTCCCAATAAAAGTCAGCAAATGGCTGCATGATGGATGGCAATACTGATCCCTGAGAGTCCCCTGAGAATTACACAAAGGAGACCTTCAAGGCCAGCCCTTGAAGGTGCTTTAAGGAAGAGCCTTCGCTTATTATTATTATTATTATTATTATTATTATTATTATTATTATTTGTGTGTGTGTACCGTCAAATCGGATCTGACTGGTTCAGGAGGAGAGTGTCCCTCC